TATTCATCCTCGACATGGGCGACCATATCCTCGAGCTCAGCGATACGACCATTGGCCCCCTTCAGCTCTGCATCCCCTTCCTTCAAGGCCTTCTCCAGCTCCTCAATGCGTCCCTGGTAGAACATGTCCTGCCTCTGGTACTCCTTCTGGTCAGTCGCTAGCTTGGCCCTAACCTCCTCGGACACCACGAGGTCGCTCTTGACAGCAGCTAGGTCCTCCGAAGAGCACCCCACCTCATTCAGCACATGGGTCATCTCAAAGACCCTCACCACCACCGTCAGATCTGCGGACATCATCTTCCTCCGAGCCTCCTTGCCCGCAACCAGTATGCTTTTGGCTTCCTTGGGCGTCATCGTAGGATCGTTCCGCCCTGAAAAGAAATTCGGCCGGAGACAGGAAAGGGACATGACGAACCCGCTCTCCGGGGACCCGTCCGTCAAATCAATCTGAGGCACCTCGTCCTCCCATCGCCACTTGTGAACCAGGGGCTGCGCCGGGGACCCAGTTCTCGGCGGAGATGAGGTCGTTCCCGAAGAGCCGCCGACCAGCTTCCTCCGCGCAGCAGGGGCCCGACCTTGAGCACGACGGTTTCCCCTATTCGTCAGCTTCGTCATCCTTTCCTCCACGGAACCCATTGAGCTTGCAAAACGAACACAAGAGAAACAGTTAGAAGCGAAATCTAGACAAGTATCATAAGTTGCCCGAAGGCACTCAAACTACCTAGGAATCGATGAGCCTCAGCTTCCGTCCTGCATTGGAGTAGAGCCTTTACATGGGCCTCTGTCAGTATTTGCCCATCTTCGCCACGGATATACTTCCCGTCGGGGGACACACACTTCCAAGAAGGAAGGCGACCGACGAAGTCCACCAACCTCCGGAAGGCCAGGCTGTCCTCCTCGCCCAGCCGACCAGGCCTGAAGATGAAGCTGTCGGTGGCCGAACGGAAATGCTGATCCCCCAAGTCTAAGGGGAAATGGGACTCATAGTTGTCCTCGGGACGCCCCTCCACGACTACCACTTCCTTTTGAAAAATCGTCTCGTACGCGTCATCCGTGGTCGGCATGACCATGAACCAGCAATCTTTAAAGCCTCGAACAGAGTCAGTATACGGGTGGAAGAGCTTGGTCGTCTGCTTCAGCGAAACCCAACTATGTCGACCAGCCGTCGCCTGACGTTGGAAATGGAAGGCGCATAAGAATAGGGGAATGGTGGCTCCGAGCTCCAAATAGTTGCACACAATCTTGAACGCTCGGAGGAAAGCCAGCGAGTTCGGGTGAAGCTGGGAAGGCACCAGCATTAGGTGGTCGAAAACGCCTTGCTGAAAGCCGGTGAAGGGCAGTCGCATGCCCACCTCCTTGAAGGTGAACTCATACATGGGGAACTGGCCACCCTCATAACGCGAGCAAATACGATCAGCCTCCCGAGACCGGCAAGTGCGAAATTGACGGGGGCTCCCGGCCACCCTATCCTCTATCACAACGAACACGTCTGAATCGTCGAGGACGAACCTCGACATATATTTTAGGGGTTCCTCCCTGACCCATTCTTCCAAAGGACACTCTGGAGGATCCAGGTCGACCTCCTCCTCGTGACCTTCCTCGTCCCCCGACAAGTACCACTCCACGTCTTCCTTATCACGACCAGCCATTTATACCTGAAAAGCAGAGGAACTCGGTGAATTCGACAGCCAAATCAAATCCACCCTTCTACCGCAGTTCAAGTGAAAGGGTGTGGTCGCCTAACCGCCCGCATAACGAGTGAGGGGACGACTTTATCCCCCGAGGAGGACCAGTGAGTACACCCTTCATCCTCGGCGCACACATCCACTCGTGCCTGGGGCAATCATCCTATTGTCCTTGGGGCATTCAAAGTTCTTTCAATCCTCCCCGGGGAATTCATCGCAAGAGCCGGGAACGGTCATTTTCTACCCTAGTTTTGAAGGATCCTCCGGCGTATTCGCCGGAAAAACCCACGGCATTCCCAGCGCCCCCAGCGGAGCTGCCGGAAACACCGCCACAAACATCAAAAAACGCCAAGAAAGGTGCAGACTCTTACGTGATATGAATGCAAAAAAGTTGTTGTCGGGTAGAAAAATCCCAGATGTCGAGCAGAAACGATCGAAGGTGTCGGGCAGAAAATTTCGGGTGTTGAGCAGCTGCAAAAAGTGAATGAGCGAAAAGACGAGCTAAGTCTACACATATATACCCCTAGCACGGGAAACGAAACGTCGCTAGGCATTCAAGTGCCTAGGTCGTAGCCGTCACAAGAATACACGTGGCGACCCTCCATCTTCCCTGCGTCTCTTTAACTTCTCCCCTTGACCGCGGGCACGTCCTCGACGTAAGTTCACCTGGCCGACACGATCACAACCTGCCCGACTGATACCTGTCCGACAGATCAACACGCCCGACACTATTCCCTGCTCAAGTCATAGCTCGCACGACCGCGAACAATGACTTAGGGGGGTCACTGTTCTGGACTGGACCGACGCTTAGCCCACAACAAACAGGCCCAAGCCCCAATGAGGTTGGGCCCCAAAATACCATGCTAACGGGCAGGATCCCCGTTGAACACAACATCTCCCCGTCGGGCACAGGCCAACATCTGTCGAGCAGGACCATCGCTTCCGACCAATCAACCTCCATCTTCCTCATCGTCGGGCAGGACCCTCGCATCCGACCAGCCACCTCTGTGTGCCCGGGGGACTCCTCGGGCCTTTCACCACGTTCTCCACGTGTCCCTCACTCAGGGACACGTCATAACGTAACTACCCATTTCTTGGAGATTCGATCTTCCTCCTCCTGTATGGTGCGGAACAGTTACCCTAGGGCGAAGACCGCGTCCTGGTCTTCACGACGCCACGTCAGCCGTAGCAGTTACTAACGTTGGGCCTGGCAGCCCAACCCAGTGGTTGGTAATCGTTGGCCATGCGCTAGGGGCTCACTATAAATACCCTCTTCACTAGAGGGTCAGGTAACTTAACTCTCTCTCTCTCTCTCTCTCTCTCTCTCTCTCTCTCTCTCTCTCTCTCTCTCTCTCTCTCTCTCTCTCTCTCTCTCTCTCTCTTTGTGGTCTCTCTTTGTGGTTGCTTCCACTCTATCCTTCACTTACTTTGGCATTAGAGTGTGTTTCAGGTACACCCCCTCCTCTTTCATACCTTCGGTGAGCAGCTAGCATATCAACGACGCGTGGCAGTTCATAACTCCCCTTCTGGTCAGGTACGATCAATTGTATTTACTACTATTAACGTTTTCATTAAAATAATCTAAATTTTTATATATCTATCAGGTTTTGTAATGATATCTTTAATATTTCTCTATTTGTAAACCCTTAGATGGTTGATGGATAATAAGGTATTAGGGATGGAAGAATTAGTACATAAATATGATAATAAAATATTTAATAGAAAAATTTAAGTATTATATATTAATATTAAAATTTAGAATAATAAAAATATTTTATTTCACTAGTCACTGTAAACATAATATCTATTTTTCTGCATCTCACGGGTCTCGTCCCTATGATTATTTAATACAATTGAGTTTATTTAATAATTAGTCATAACTTATTTTATAATTAAATAGATTATTTAAATATTAATATTTGTATCTAAATACATTTTATTATAATTTTTTTAATCAAATATTCCATTAAAATTATATAAAATTTATAATTTAAATAAATTCACTCATTTAATAATTATATTTTATTTATTAAATAAAATATGTTATTTCTTTTAAATAAGATATTTTTTGTCCAAATTATATAATATTGTGCGACGAATGCTATGCTATTAATATTGATATTATGAGTTTAAAATGTGACAATAATAATGATACATTATTAATATCAATATTGTGAGTAAAAATAATCAATGTTCATAATAAATATTTATAACTATTATTTCTTATTATTTATCATATAAAGAAAACTGTATTGACTATCCCTAGTGTTATCATTAATAATAGTTGCATCAGAGTAAAAAACAATTAATGTTAATGATAAATATTTGTAACTATTATTTCTTATTATTTAATTTAAGAATCTTTAAAATCGAAAAATTCAGCATATTTATTTATCATATAAAAAATTTGTATTTACTACAATTAATGTTATCATTAAAATTTGATTAAAATAATCTAAATTTTTAGATATCTATCAGTTTTTTTTTTGCTAATATCTTTAATATTTTTCTATTTATAAACCCTTAAATAGTTGATGGATAATAAGGACGAAAGAATTTGTACATAAATATGATAATAAAATATTTAATAGAAAAATTTAAGTGTTATATATTAATATTAAAATTTAGAATAATAAAAATATTCTATCTCACGGACTACTATAAACACAATATCTATTTTTTCCTGCATTTCAAATTTGATGTGGAAATTAATGTTTATGTTTTTTTAATCATGTAATCTAAATAATATAAGTAATATTAGAGAATCATGTAATCTAAATAATATGAATATGCGTGTAGGGTTATTGCAGAAATGTATCTATGAATCAGTGGAATAGTTGTGTAATAGATGCATCTAAAAATGCATTACCCAATTCAATAAGCATCTTCGGATTTCCTTAAACTCTTCTCCACCACTTATAGTGGTAGAAACAATTCCGTATTCTTTCACAACTACTAAAATTTTATATTTTATTTTAGATAGAACTTTACTCACTCAAGATTTGGGACCAATTTACTTCAAAAATGCTAAACTCATGCTCAGCTTTCTATTTTCAGTTATGTAAGGAATAGAAAAGAAACGTTAACAATCAAGCTCAGCAAAACTTGAGGCAATAATATCAATATAAGAAAAATTAACAAATTTGATTTTTTTTTTTCAAAGTCTAAACAAAAGAGATATATCTAACTCAACATAAAATTCTAGATGTTACAAGGGAGAACTACAAAACCAAAACTGCAGGTACATGGCCGCAAACACTGAAGGACTCGAATAATACCAAATAGAATCAATAACACCGAGGTAACCCTCTTCTAACTAAGCAGCTGCTCCACGTCCAGCATCACGACCGCGTCCACGGCCCCTTCCCCTTCCCCGACCTGCAAATAATTTATAAAAAAAAATTGTACACTGTAAACTTAAATTTTTGTTAAAAAAACAACACTTATTTCAACAATAAACAAGCAGGCAGCATAAGAAGTGCTTGCAAATTTTAAAACTGGGCAAAGAAAACAGTTGGTGAATTCATATTAAGTAGTAATTTTCTCTTGTCTATAGATTTAATTGGAAGTATCAAGTAATGTAAATAGCACAGCAAAATATTAGACTGGACTAGCACATAACTGATTTCGAATTTCATATGATAATACAATTAATCAAATTTGTGCTCTCGCATGCTTACCACGTGAGGCAGGTGGTGCATCATATTCACCATTGTCATAATACCCAACCGGCTGGGAACCATAGCCGCGTCCTCGTCCCCGAAAAGCACGACCCCATGCACGGCCACGCCCTCTGCCACCATAGCCACGTCCACCATCCCAACCATCACCATATTCCATACCCCCATTGTTGTACATTCCTACAAAGAATGAATTATGTAGTAATCAGAAGATTTTGTATTTTAAAAGTAACAATAAAAGGGTTTAGAGAGAAAGCATTTCAGATCATTCTCTATAACCTATAATGCATCATATTGAAAGACTACGTAATAAACAGAATCTTTGTACAGAAGGTTAATTGGGAAGCTGAATTATTTGATCATGATGTAATCAGATATTTTCGTAAGTAGGTAATATTGGCAGTAAAGATGCAGATAGGGCAGGATGCCTATCTAATAGATGGTCCACTCGATATCTAGATAATTGTGGTCTTATAGGAAAGACTTTGGTAAAACAAGCACTATAAGTCCCATTCACGAAAAATAAGTGGCTCTACATATTGCTGCTGATTCAGTTTTTATGAGCAAATTAAACATATTGAAATTGATTGCCATTTTACCGGTGAGAAGATTGTGTCTAGATTTTGTTGTTTATATTGACCAATTAACAAATATTTTCAGTCTCTTTGAGGGCCAAAGATAACTTGCAATTGACAAGCTTTGAAGCATACAATTAGTAAGCTCAGGCTTGAGTGAGAGTGTCGAGATATTACAAAATGAATATTTGATTGAGATATTACTATCCACATTTTCTTCTATGTAAACATTTTCTATTTCCTTGAGTATATGTCTGATGTAATCAGTTAGGTATATGTCAGGTTTAATCCCTATTATCAGGGGATTTCTTTGTTCAGTTTTTCATAATAAAGACAAAATATTGAGAGCTAATCTCTTATGCTACTCAGCAGTCAGCACCAAAACCTTAATCACAAGCCATACAGTTATAGTTAAATAAGCGGAACAAAGTACTGAGCAATACCTCTACCTCTGCCCCTTCCCCTTCCACGACCACGCCCCCTTCCACGCATCCTTGGTGAGCCTTCTGTATCAAATATTATACTTAGTTAAAACTACACATGCCATCATAATCACATGTTTTCATTCTTTTAATATATCTAAGAAAAGACTATGAATTCACCTCCTTCCTCTTCATATTCATTTAATGGTTTTACTTGATCAGCCGGTATAGGAGGTTGATATCTGCATGAAGAGAAACAATTAGAAACTTGCCCACAGAGAAAACATTTAAAGAAATGAGAAAATAATATTCCAAACATAGTGTGAAAGATAGCCAAGCCAGACTTGTACAACTCATGTCTGGACATTAAGAATTGAACATTTAATTGAATCCATTTATTAGTAGAAGAAAAAAATTAAAAACGATGAAAGTTTAAAGTACTGTCAGAAACTGATAGACTACTAAGTTAATAAAATCAAACCCTTCCATCAATCTACATCAAAGTCAAGTAACAATAAGTACAGCAGCACGGCAGATGTACTAGAAGTCTAGGGTCTAAGTTGCTATGAAGCATTGGCACAAATACAGGCAATGAATACAACACAACACCAGTAAAAATTTGAGAAAATAAAAGCAATTAAATGTAATATAACGTGTAAGTGTCATGTTGGTGTTGTACAATTTGAAGTGTCGTGCCACATTCCTAACATGTATCTCCTTGCCCTCAAGTAGTTTACACAAAAATAACTAAGCCTATTAAAAGATAAAGCATCTGACAGCACAATTTAGAGATACAGATGTCATACAATATCATGAAAGTTCATACCCTGTTGAGGACGTATCCAGCTCTTTCTTTGACAACGTAATTGTGATCATTGAAACATGTCTAGTAGTTTCCAAACTGCACAAGTAAAACACAACAAAAACAATCAAACCCAAGCATACATAAATTATTCAACAAATTAGCATAAAGGAAACACAACAGTTAGCCATAGCCATACGGAAGAAGGCCTTCTTCAATCGGTTCCCAGGTGTCGGTTATATCAGTCGATCCAATTACCGTGTTCTGATGCAAACCAACAATCCTTCTCTGAAACAGGTAGAAAGATCAGCAACAATAATTAAACAAACTAAACACCAACCAATTTAATCCATAGAGATATCTAATTATCTAACATCCCACCTTTATTAGCTCGGTAATCGTTACAGTCTTATTAATTGCACGTCCCATAGCTTTGAGAACGATTTCATCAGCTCCTTTCTCCTACAAAAACACATGCAGTACAAAATTAAATTAAATTAAATTCACAAAAAAATAGTTCAATGAAGAACAAAAACAAGAAAAAGAGATGCAGAAAGTTAAAACTAACTTGAAAGAGAGTGGTAGCATAGGTGATATAGTTCCTCATTCTTCCTTGAGTGGTAATGCGGATCTCATTTTCGTTAATTGGAGTATCTGCTTTGGGTTTCTCCACCCTCTGGTACCTATCCATCTGAACACAAAAACAAAATCAATTAATCAGAAACACTGAATCGAAGAATTAGTTGAAGAATCTAGGGTTTATAATATGATAGAGAGAAAGAGAAAGAGAGAGAGATACCGTTTGTGTTGTGCGTGAGTAAGATGGAAGCGAGGGTTGAGTTGGTGGCTATGGGGCGAATATGTCAATGTGCTTCTTTCTCTCAGTTGACAGGTTTGGGGATATGGATGTTATTTGTGGTTTCAGTTTCAGGCCGAAAGCGAGAGAAAAAGTTAAACTCAGGGATTGCAATACCTATCTATGGAAAAAAGGCCCAAGCAGAGTTATGTGGGCGCGGTCATATAGCCGGATAGATCGCGAAAGTCATCTGGACCATTCATGCCCTAACAATTACCCAATGGGCTTTTATGGATAGCCTACGAAAATTCTACCTGCCTTCCCCACAATTAAACCTCATACCTCCCAACTTATATAAAAAAGTCCAAAGTAACTTTCTAAAAATAATTTCTTACATTTTTTTAATTTGCGGTTCCTTTGCAGAATTTTCAAATTTATGAAACAATACTGAAGATTTTAAAGCAATTATCGAAATTTCAAAAGCGAGTTAATATTTACCAATTTTCATTATTTTCGATAATTTGTATTGAAAATTTTATCTGAAATTTCATAATTTATGTTAATTTCTATCTGAAATTTTAAAATTTCCGATGCAAACCTTAATATTTTATCAGAAATTTCAAAATTTTCAGTAGTTTAGAAAACTAGTTTTGTATCTTACCGGAAATTTCAAAATTTCCGTAATTAAAAAAATTAGTTTTATATCAGAAATTTCAAATTTTTCGATAGTTATGAAAATTTAGTTTTATACCCGTAAATTTCAAAATTTTTGGTAGTTATAAAAAATTAGTTTTATACCAAAAATTTTAGAATTTCTGGTAGTTGTTGCCTTTGTTTCTTTTCTTTGTTTTTTTTCTTCTTTTGCTGAGAAAACCAGAGGCAGAGACGGTACTATTGCAGGGAGAGTTGAGAATAGAGCATCAGATCAGGGTAGGCCTGTCAGTGGTGCTGATGTCGAGTCTTCCCATCTACGGGCAGGACGACTGGTCCCCACCAGTTCACACCGAAAGCGGATGGCGGAGCGGGGGAATTTTCATACACTTCGTACCACTCACCGCCGCGGAGTTCGATCAATAGAGCAGGATACAAATGAGATGCTGACAGACGTTCTTATAGTTGATCTCGTCGGTGAACCGGTGGTTGAGTTGATAGTTGAGCGAGTGATTGAGTCGGTGATTGCTCAGGTAGTTGAGTCGGTTGATGTTTATAAGGTTGTCGATGAGGTTGCTCGAGGGGCTGTTGAGGAGGTACAACGAGATGTTGTTCTTGGCGAGTCGGGCCCATCAGTTATTGTTGAGACAAAGGTTACGGTTCCTTCAATTATGCCCTCTATGCACACTAATAGAAAATTCTCATGAGGACCCATCGACCGATATGTGCTTATAGAATATGGTGAGTATGTGCCCTTACGATTATGGCAGGGCGAGGTATATGTCTTTTACGTTTAAATTTAAATATTATTTATATGTGTATAACTTGTTTAAGTATGAATTAATATGTTTATATTTTATTGTCACATGAGTGACTCGCACTGAAGATCATATCTCACGAGTCAAAGATTAAGGGCTTCCCGAAGATTCTGATGCCTGAGCAGGTAAGTCGAATAATACGGGACTTCCAGCTGTTTGATTTCGCCTACTGGTCACTCGCTCCATTGCTTAATGCCTTTGATGAGAGGTGGCACAAGGAGACGTCATCATTTCATCTTCCGCTCGGGGAGATGATTGTCACTCTAGATGATGTTGTTACGTTGTTTCATATCCATATCGACGACAGATTATGGACGACTCTGATTCTTAGTGTGACCACTATTTGTCAGATTGTGGCACATGATTTGAGTTTGTCTAACGCAGAGGTGCTGAAGGAGTTTGGTGATACCAGAGGTGCACACCTTTGTATGCACTGGCTTTGGAGGATTTACGATCATCTTGTAGTTGCTGGTAGATATGAGGTTATCGTTAGGGGGTACATGTTATATGTAGTAGCATGTGCTCTCTTTGTAGAAAAGTTTGTTACTTATGTTGATGCCCAATATTTGTGTCTCTTCAGTAACCTCAATAAGACCAATTGGGTTTGGGGATGTGCAGCGCTGACCCAGTTGTATACAACGCTTGGAATGGCGGTGGTCTTCGAGACCGGACAGCTTGCTGGGTATTTGATTGTGTTACAGGTATATTTTAAATTATTGTATATTATTGCTTGCGTATTTATTTTTTACAAATATCATTTCTAAATCATTATTTGTTGTGATTTCAGTGCTAGATCTACGAGCATTTCCCTACCATCTGTGATAGGGGGTGCAACATTGCAAGGTGTGGGGCCCATGGTGAAGTTATGGAAGGCAAGGCAGACACATCCTGATGGTGTAACTGAGTATAGGTGGAGGATGGATACGCTGACTGTAGATGATGTCATCTGGACATCATATGATGCTCATAGAGTCCACCGAGAGTTCGAGGAGTCCACATTGTATTCATGTTATATGTGGTGGGAGTATACCACGTCTAGCTTAGAGTATACCACAACCAGTTCCAAATATTCCAACTTCAGGGATTGATAAATGGTTTCAGAGTAACTTTATCAACTTCGGTCATACCATTAGAGATCAAGTGGTCACTGCTCAACACCTCTTGCAGTGTGAGGATGGTTACTTATAGTGGTACCTCACTGTATCACATCCATACACCATCCACCCCCAGCTAATGATAAGCCTTCTAATGACCAAGTACCTATTGATGACGCGGCACCGCCGTCTCCTCCGGTAGATCACACCGATGACCAGCAACGCTTCTAGATGATTGCAGTGATTACGGATGAGCTCATGAGTTTGGTAAACCCGGTTAATGACGTTTATTTTAGATTAGCTCAGATTGCACACATAGCCCGTGGGGGCCTATTTAGATATATTTTGTATTATATGTATATTATTCAAACATCTTTCTTAGAACATTTTATTAGCTAATATTAGTGATATTCCTTAAATTGCAATGTGAAATTTAACTTACATATAACAATGGTTTTCATAACTTAAACATAAAACACTTAACATTACAATATGATTAATAAATAAGAAAAGTCTAAACACTACCAGACGTTTCAGCATCTCCATTATGTCGTCAACGGATCTTGACAGCTTCACATCTAACTCGATCAGACCCTTTGTTATCTTACGGCAAAATGATCTTCACATTTCCTTCACATCTTCGTCGGTCTTCAACTCAATAAGGTTGTATTTTACCCTTCCGTTTGTATCGATCCAATCTTCACAAAACTCAATCTTTATCACCTTTCTATTCTCTCCATCAGGCAACAATTCATTCAACTTCTACGTCAGACTGACAAAAGAGGTTGTGCCGTCGGGAAGCTTGAACTATACAGAAGGAGAAGCTACATTGAAGTAAACTTCTGCCTTAATCAAAAATTGAGGAAGATGCATTTTTTAAAGATGTGTTTATCATCAAGATGTGACCCTAATTTATACAACTGTCAATCAATTCTGGACCACACAAATTGTCGATGCAACCACAGCCACACAATATTGTCGATAAAATCACGACCATCCAAAAAACCCTAAAAATGAAACTACTCGTAATTTCACCTTAAGTGAAATTTTCGGTATCAACACGGAAATTTCATATTTCCGCAACAATTTTCACTTGAACTGAAATTTGAAATTTTTCGGTACACCGAAAATTTCAAATTGTACTGGAAATTTTGATATAACTATCGGAATTCTCCAATGGAAATTTAATGTGTTTTTCTCCTATGGGCAGTTTTGACATTATGAAAAATTGGGGGGGGAGGGGGTGGCAGGTATAATCCTCATAGCCCGCACATTAAAATTAACATTACAAGTTTTTTTAGTAAATTATAGTTAAGGATTTCTTAAGACACCCTATGTGTTTCTTTCCCACCGTGTGGTTTTCCACAGATTCCCCCGAATTTTGGAGATATATCTCTAGACGCATCCTATGACTTAATAATATTCTGAAGATATATCTCCGGAACAATTTAAACCTTAAAAGGTCACAACAAATCTCCCATAGCCCATTTCCATTTGAATTTGTTCGGAGATGCATTTACACGAATTTTCCGGAGATACATCTCTGAAGTGTTTCAGAACAAGTTTCTTTTTAAATGCATTGTGAATTTGTTCGCAAATGAATTATAAAATAATAGACACACCAAAATAACATAACACTATTGTAATAGGATGTCATGCGTCACGTAAATCCAAAATATAGTAACAATATTAGGAAAAACGTACAAACTATAGTATTGAAACAAAATAAATACAGATAACTACTGGGTGTGTCTGACAACATCTCCTCTGCATAGTTTGCCTCCTCGGCCATCGATCCCCCTGTCCTTGCGCGATATATGCGGTACAAAAGTACCCCATGTGCCTCTGCAATAATGTCATCCAGTACTCGCCTGACAGCAGACCCCTCAGGGAATATACATTCGTCAATGCTTGCCCACACCATCTCTATTATGCGATCACAACGAGGTAAAATATCCTCAGTATGACCCACATGAGCCTACTCCTCCTCTAGAATCCCCTGATGAGCAGGTCTTGATGGATCTCCTGAAGTAGTCAACACCATGTATGGATGTGAGACCCTGAAGAACCACCTGATGTATCAGTCGAGGTACTCTAGTCATTCGGCGCTATGGTAGCTCAAGCCTCATCTAGTACCAGATAACTCTGATAATCAGCGAACATCTCCTCTATCTGTATACGAGTCAAGGCCTAAGGTGTAAAGACAACAGGGTGTCTAGGGATGGCTTAGATGTACCTGATTTGCCGCATGACACGCTCAGACAAGTAAGGAACAGTGATAGTCGACGAGCAAGTCATCCATATAGAGTATATCGATATGTAGTAAAATGGT